CATCCACCCACGCACCGGAACGTCCACCAGATCCCTCCACCCACGCACCGGAACGTCCACCAGATCCACCCACGCACCGGAACGTCCACCAGATCGATCCACCCACGCACCGGAACGTCCACCAGATCCATCCACCCACGCACCGGAACGTCCACCCAATCCACCCACGCCACCCACGCATAAAAAACTCTCTCTCCCTCTCTCTCTCTCTCTCTCTTTCTCTCTCTCTCTCTCACACACACACACGCATACATTATTCAGGAAAAATAAAAACGAAAATTACATGCAGAAAGATGTATTGGGTAAATAAAAAAAAACAGTATATTGAATATGTTTCACGGATGCTTTATTATATTATAATTACATTTATTTATGTAATATATATATTTTTGTAATATATTTAGCATTATAGAGTTATTTATAATGCTAAATATACAGACAACATGGTGAAAAAATCAAAGAAACAATATAAATATTAATTAAATTCCTTGATAATCAATTTTTTAATGATTGTCGCTATCGAGGAGTGGTCCGTTACCTAATTGACAGGAAATGGGAGAACACGAATGAGAAGTTCGTCAGAAACTTTTTAATTGATCGCAAGCTGGATGTATCGGTGCTGTAACAAAAAATAAATGATACGTTTATGACAATTATGTGATGAGTTTGAAACCGGCTGGGTGATGAGATAACATTTACTTGTCATTTTTAATTTTTTAACCTTTTTTAACTTGCTGGAATTGTCACGTTTACGTGTCAAATAATAACTCAGTTTTATTCGCCATTCGGCTGTCTAATTACTCTCCGGAAAACTAATTGCAATTAAGAGAATCACTGTTACGTATGCACCGATTTAAAGACTAACCGAATTATTATCGATTATCGAGAGATCGAATGAAATCACTCAAGGGGAATTAGAATCGTTTATCATTTTTATTTCCCGAGTTTTTAAATTATTTTATGATTGAAATTATTTTATCATACGATTTGTTATTATTATTATTGTTTAGATCTTTTCTTTTTATTTTAAAGTAATGTGTGTTTTATTATTTACTAAGTTCATAACGCGGTGGAAGATTTGAGTCGTTTAATATAAGGGATTCGAGGTTTGAAGATTTTTGATGGAACAGTGGAAATCGCGACAATAATTAAAATAAGTATGTGAACTCACCACTCGATATGATATCATCACGATTCTCCCTCGTCCAGTAATTGATAGATTTGGGAAAGGCTTCGAAGTGGCACTCAAGCGTTGCTTGCGATCCTTCCTCAGCTCCCAACAACTGATTATAAATCATAATCATCGGTGGAACTGAAAAAAAAAATCAAAGAAAACGTGAAATTGGCGATGAAAGGAGGGAACGGTCAATAAAAAAGCGTTGACGTTTGACAAAAGAAGGATATCGATCTATAAATACAAATAGTGCAGCCCTCAGCCCTTGCGGGGTCGTTACGGGGGCCACTCACATTTTTTTTTTCCACTCCTATTTCCTTCTTTTTACAACATCGTTTTGTCTCCGAGAAGGAGATGAATTGGCCTGAGATAGGCTATCATTTTAACAATTAAAGGTACTTACAGTGGACAATGAGCATTATTCTCTTGCTGACGGTGGGAGGAACGCCGTTGGAGGCGATGCACAGGTAGGCCCCCATGTGAAGACGATTTACTTTCGTTATATTGAGAAATGATCCATTAACGCTCGAAACTGAAAATAATTAGAAAATTCGGCACAAATTAAATTTATAATCTTAAAAAAAAACAACTCCCCAATTACTCAATCGAATGTCAATCTTTTTTTTTTCAAATTGAATAATTCATTTTATGAGTCCCGGGAATTGAAATTTTCTCGAAGGGTTCAATTACGAGAATAGAGGAGATCGAGTGACAAATTCAAGAGAATTTCCCCGGAGATGAGAGCCAGAAGGAAACTGGTCAGCATCTGCTGAATCAGCTGAGACTATACAGGTAATGCTCTGCATTCCTGTTTGACCATCAAATTCATTCCTTCAAGCGTAAAAACATCCAAGGACCTTGTCTGTGATTCTCTCTAAGAGAACTTGGATTGGGAAATTCTCTCAATTGTACTCTCACTATTAATAATTTTCATCAAAAAGAAATTGTCAAATTTTTTCAAGGGATCGGTATTCGAGGTACCGCCCGTGAGAAAAATAAATGCAAATAATTATATATGAGATATATATCCCCGATATTCCAGGCTCCGGTTTGTAAAGACAAAATATTCCCGGCTCTTCCCCAGGAATTACCCCAATCCATAACAATTACAATTACCTCGAGGTATCAAATCAATTGACGATGGATCACGCTACTCTGAGCATCATTAGAGCCCCTCCGAGGGTTCCTTTTGTTCATCGAGAAGCCAATTAAAGCGTTGGTTCAATGACTCGAGTGTTACAAGCAACAAGTCCTGTGTACTGAATTTACACCGAGCCTGGAGTATCGGATAGGCCTGGGGAGTTGGGCAACTTCAGGATAAGAGGGCACACTCTGGCGACCCTCCACCCTGTCCCTATTCCATTATTGACTGCATACTCAAACGAATTTCAAAAAGTACCAGTTAAATATTCGGCAATCAATTCAAGTTCCTCCAATTTTTTTTTTCCCGAAAACAGACACTAAGGGTTCATTTTTTTACACTCGAATACTGCACTAGAATATTGTTATTAAATTTCCCCGTTATATAATTCATAGTCGGGAGGATGTTATCAACTACATGGCCTGCTCGAACTAACTAACGCGAATTCCACAAAATTTCTGAGTTAGGACACACGATGAGCATTGCAAATCCCCGAATTTCACTCGGTTTGAGTGTTACAATACTGGTAACTCCTAGTGAGGTAACAATTCTCCACCGAAACCATCCACAAACTTGTTTCAACAACTCCACGGTTGAATAGTTTTGTTTCTATTCGGTTTCATGTAGTGAATATTTTTCTATTTCAGTTATTATTATGCGAATACATTATTTTTAAACGGTGCTAGTATTTTTTTATGAATAAATAATTTAAGGGGGCGGAATGGAACTATTGTTAACAGAAAATACGATAGAAAGTGGATATTGAATGGTGGCTTACCTTTTTCATCAGTGGAAAGTGCTATCTTTTCAGTGGATTCACGTTTCCAAGTGATATTGGGCGTTGGCGATCCATTTGCTGCACAGCGGAGACTTACATTGTTACCCTCTCGCACAACCATATCGGTGCTCGTTGGATAATCGAGAATGTCGGGAGGTACTGAAATATTGTAATTACTACGTAAATATTCCCACTATACTGCAAAGTTATCTCGTAATTAATCGAAACGAGATATTTGAGTAGGGAAGAGCAATTTGAAAAAATAAATGTGAGAGTATACGAGTTTTACTTACCAACAACTTTGAGACGTCCGACTTGACTCAGCATTGGGTCGGTATTAATCTGACACATGTAGTCACCCTCGTCACTCTCTTTTACATCCTTTATGTGCAAGTACCAAACCCGATGATCACTGTGTGTCACTGCTATTCTGTGGTTCTTTGTAATCACGTGAATGGCTATTGTCAGGATAGTCTGAGTGTTGACCTGTAGCCATGCGACCTAGAAATAAAGAGAGCAGAGTGAAATTATTTGAAACGTCGGCAACTTTGTGGGGTAGGCTATATTGAAATAATGTTAATTAATTGCAAACTGTCATCTCCAGAGGTTTTAGAATAATGAGAATTTAGATGCACTCGACTGATACACCCTCGTCAAGGTTTCTCTCTTCGAAGCCTTGTAGCATGCACTTTGTGATGCACATGCACGAATTAATTGTCCACCCGATGAGTCAGTGCGTTTGTTCTACACTCAAGTGAACTTTCAATTTCCCCGGGCATAATCATTCTGCGGGATGTTATCAAAGGAAATTCTTCACGTGAAACCACGTATTTACGGTTCTTGGGAGGAGCTTTAGGGTTATCATGTCGTAAATTGTTTCAACGTGATGATGAATTATACGGATTATGGGGCTGCACCGATTAATTGAAGAATTTTATTATTTTTTCTTGACGAGATACTTTGAAAAGAGTTGCCAGAGATTTCAATTTTAAAATAAAAAATACCTTCACCGTGGGAAATTGATGCAAAGTGGGTAAAAGGATGATCAAAAATCCCGGACAACACTGATGGACATCACTTTAGTTCATCAACAATTCGACGGTTTTAAAAAAATCCATGGACGTAGAATAATTATTTGAATCCATTGATTTTTAAATATTCATTTTGCGCGCTAGTATCGAGAAAAATACTATATTTGCATGCGCTCTGACAGCGCCATATCGACATGAAATAGGAGGCGCGGAAATTCAGCGGTGAAAAAAGTGACGAAAAAAATGGAAAGAATAAATGAAGCGAATGAAAAAAGTGGAAACAATGAAATATTCAAGGCGGCAATTATTGTACCATCGTTACTGGTGGCGACCGCAACCACTTGAAAATTTTGCTTGTGCAAGTGCTACGGAAAATTACTATGCACACAATGCGAGGGAGGATGTTGAGGAGAAAGATGGAGAGTAGTGCTTTCATCGATTAATAAATTCAGCCTCCAAGGATTTCACCCGTGACGTTTGGCTCGAGGGCATTTCCTCGAGACTTTCAAAATAATTGGCATAAATGAGAGTAACGGGTACACAATGGTAATGTGTAATAAAAAAATGTTTTCTAATGAAAAATGTCGCCGAGAGGTACTCGCGAGAATTATTACTTCCGTACGGAATTTTAGAGAACGACAAAAGGGGAATATTTTGTGAATTTATTGAAGAATAATTGTTGCACAAAAATTATTAATTTTCAGAGCTTACTTTTTTTTCAATCCAATTCTTTCCGGGTTTTTCAATTTTTTTCTGGTTGAGCACGAATACTCGAGGAGTGAGCGACTGTGCAAACTTCTCTCGTAATTCGAGGAGCAAAGGCGTTGTCGCCAAATGATCCTCACGAAATAGGGTGGCGACCAGAGAGGCGACTTGAGGATTAAAGATGAAATGAAAGTTGCCAAGACAAAGAGAAAACATCACTTCGTTTTTTATCTACTTTCGTCGTTTGAAGACGTCGACGAGGGGCACTGCAATAATGCACTTGAGTCAACGATGGATTTCGAGGAGAATAACCTGTTGTTCGGGGAAAAAAATTACGTGATCAATATCTGATAAAAAAATTAAGGGCCTCTCTAGAAAAGTCTGTAAGCAGTTAGTTCCCAAAATCACGTTCACTCGAGTAAAAAATTTAATGGATTTGACATTTTTTTTTTCGATTTTTTTTTTGATTGATTGGCATGGCGAATTATTTACCGAATAATTCAAAAAATTCAATCAACCGGAATATCTTACAGCCGGCTTCAATCATTTCAATCACACTAGCGAGTATCCTGGCTACAGTGAATTTTATTCGTAACACCAATCGTGCAACATGACTCACATGATTCTGTCCAACATGACGAGCATCAAGCACGTCCGTCCAAACGATCCCTTCAATCCACCCCATCCAACGAGTTTCAGGTTTGTTATATATATTTCCATACATCACCATTGATGTATTGACACCAGAGAAAAGTTGGATGTATCGGGTTTTGACATTTACCCGAAAATACCGTTATTTGCAAGATCCTTTTTTTTAAAAAAAAGCAGGTAACGTTTTGTGTCAGCTTTTTATGGCGCGGAGTAAACACAGTGAATAGATGACTAAGTTACTCAGAATTCCTCAACCCAAATCCGAAATAAAAACCAGGGATTAAAATACTGTCATGAGTGTGTGCCATTTTCATCAATAAAATTTCCCACTGTTATATTTTGAGACCTCAATAAAATGAATGACGCAATGTGGGATTAAAATTTACTGTCACCCAGTCACACCGAAAAAGTCTAAAGTTCAAATTTTTAACTCGCGTTATACCACCGCTGTTCCCAATTTTTCCTAGTATAGTTCTACCACCGGTGAAATTTCAAACCGACACCGATTAGCCAGTAATCGAATTTTTAATCATTCAATTGACAACGAGTGGCTATTATCAGACGTGAATGGACGCTATCGAGTGAAAATCAGCCTCGAGGACAAATTTCCGTGACGGCCAATTCAAATTCATTTTTCCGCGATAGCACTGCGCTATTATTTCACTGGAAACCTGCCCTCTGCATTGTAACGGTCATTATTTATTGGATAGTTCGATAATTCCCATCGATTTCTGGAAAAATTTGCAGTGAAATTTTTTTCATGATTTTTGATTCATCCGCATTGTTACAACAATTAATTGATAGCCACATAACAATAAGATTAGTAAACCCTCACAATGATTGCAAATCGCGAAGTGAATTCATTAATACGTCATTATTTTGCACAAGATGTTAGACGGTATTCAATCCCCGAAATAATCGGATTACCAGGAAACGAAGAGTTGAATAATGATTAAAAATCATCAACATTCTCCGGATTGATTGGATTTTAATTTATTTACTCGAGTGATAAACTCATGAAATTGTCCAATGACCGAAATAAATACGCACTCGTGAAATTCCCGAACGAATGGCCAATGGAAAGTAGAGGGTTAATTAATTATTTCAGGTTAATTAATGAAAGACTGGGAATGTCTGGTGAAATTTTTTATAGACAAAACTTGTGCAGTTTCTTTCGAACTGAGAGATGCTCGCAATTGTTAGGCAAATTTTCAATCTTTCTAGCTTCGATATATTTTCTTTACGTCACGGGGCTTACGTCACTCATTCTTCAATGTTATTCCACATACGAATTCTGTATTTGATATCTAAGTACCTGTTCAACCGAGATATTAGAAAACAAACCAAAGATACGTGAAGTGGAACCCAAGAAAATGCCATCCACCACCCCCTACAAAATTCAACTCGTTTTAGTCGACGATATCGTTTCTTATTCCGTCTGAGATATTGCTGCAAGAATACGGAGACGATAGGAATTCGTAATAACTTTATTTTCAGTTCTACATCCCTGGGTAAAAAAAAATTGTAATCGAAATATTTTTTCCAAATTTTCAAAAAATTACGGGAAAACTTTTCAGAATTTTTTTTTTATAAAACAAAAAAAAATTGGATAGCAAAGCAATTTTATTTTTGGGAAAGGTTTTGAAAAATTTTTCAAAAATTTAAATAGGAAAATTTTTTTTGTAATTTAGATGGCGTATTTTTTGAGAATATTGAAAAATAATACAAATAAAAAAACAATAGTATAATTGAAAGAAAAAATTATATTGGCAAAAATTCCTAGAAAATTATTTAAAAAATTTTCCGAAAAATTTTTCAAAAATGTTTTGAAAATTAGGAAAAAATATTCCGATTAGAATTTTTTTTTACCCACGTCGAGGATTAAAAAATCATATAGAAAGTAGAGAGTGTAAGAAATCACTCAAAACGAATACTGATGACATTATCTTTCAGAAATAATTTATTTTAATTGCTCCCCAAAATGAAAAAATTCAATCAAGCCTAGATTATTTTTCCACGTCGACAACTCTCCGGAGAATTAACCCCTTACGCAGTGTAGGAATAAAAATTCTGACGTCATTTTCCAATTTTCCCCGCGCCCCGAAAAAGAAAAAAAAAATGGTGAGCAATCGTTGGGAATTGCCGTTGGAAAAGCAATTACACCGATTCCTCCTTTTTCCGCCATCATCCGGCGGTTGCAAAATTAATTCCCTCCACACCCTCATTCAAACAAATTTAAAAGTGCTCGAGCAGAACATTAATTGGTAAAAACAAAGAATTTTTGAACACCTTTTTACGGTAAATCGATTGTACGAGAGTCCTCACACCGCGAGCGTCAATCGAAAAATATCGGTTAATGTCCTGTACTCTATGAGTGGATAATAGTGGATATTGTATAATCGTGAAAATCCCCAGAGGACCGTTATCTTCCACTCTCGGAACATCTGCCCGACTACTGCGTAATATGAGACCCGTATGTAAATTCCGTTTTGATTAACATCCGCGAATAGAATGGAATTCTCTATTTCAGTATATATGTCCTACCAATATCACTGGCATGATGGGACCGTGTGCCACTAACTACTTCCTTCGTACGTGGAGTAACGTATTATGCAAATATATTGTTTGCTTCAACACCTCATCGAATTACTCTTAACTAAGATTTATTTCAAATTACGAGAACAATTTGAAATCTGAGGAGATGATTCCTAAAAAAATCGTGAGACCCTCAGATTTGATAAATTTAATAAAAAATCTTGAAATTCCATAAATATTTGAAATATTTGACTGGAGAAGTTGAAAAATTGCCATCAACATAAACTAAGATCCATCAAGTCACCGATATTTTATTGCCGCTACTCGTTCGTCAGACGCTATTTCCGCGATAAAGCTATGCTAAACTTTGTTTTCCCAAGGACTCGAATGTAAAAGGATACTGCACGAGTAAGATACTCTCATCCTCCCTTTCCACCGGTTTTCTCGCCATTGTCATTTCCCCTCGCCGAAAACGAGTTACTTTTAACAACTATATACACTTTCTGAAGAAATAAACGGTAAAGTCGCTGTGTTAGCACTCGCAACTTTTCCACAAATATTTACACAGCTCTTGGATGATCCGAAATAGCTGGATTCCACCGAATCGGTGCTTTAAAAAATCAGTAGGAGTTACATTCGCAGTTGGAATATTGAATTTATCAATAAAAACACGCGCGTTTATTTTTATAGAGGAAGTGACTTTAGCGAGAAACTCGGAAGACTTTCAATTCAAGATCGCGTCATTCGACTCATGAAGAAAAATTAATCACTGATCTGAATACAGTATGACTCACCGTTACCGGAACAACTTGTCATGAAAAATCCTAACTTTCGTTTCTCAGCAGAAAATCATAATCCGCGTTATGCCATAGTTTGAGATTAAACTGGTGTACTTAAGGTAAGCTATAGCATGTCCGTTAACCCCTCAGTTTCTTGGAATACAGGGCACTTGGGTTAAAGCCCTCTGACGACAATCACCAACTCGCCCCGACAAACGCCCAAGCTATCCCCAAGCTATCCCCAACCTATCGTAACATCTGATATGAAAGCCAGGACCATGAAAAGGTGCATCCTAAGCGCTATGGTTTTGAATTCTCTTCGTTCCAACACTGGATTATATGTCCCCAGTGAAATTACTCAGGATTCCTACGAGTCATCGTACACTTTAACATGTTTTAATTCAAAACTACCGCACTTATTCTGACCCACGTTACCATTTTTTCTTCGCTCAATTACATTTTTTCAAGTGCTACACTTTTTTTATGGTTACAATCTCGCGTGTCACGGGTTAACGTGACACACTGTTAAACACATAAAATTTATCGCTACTATTTTTATACGGTATATAGGGCGCAAAAAAAAAAAATTGAGTACTGACTGGTGTGAATTTATTTGAGATTTCATCTTCATGACCATCTAAAGGAGGTCGTGAAATTATTTGTGAATCGATGTAATTGAACTGAGACTTGCATCTTCAAATATTATTTTATAGAGATTTGAATTTTCAACTGGAAAACTTCTCGAAAGTTCGTCGATACGGCAGAAATGAAATCTGGTTTACCCCGGGGGGGTTATTTTATCAAAGAGCTCCTATTTTCAATAACAAGGAAAATGAAAAAGTGTTTTCTTTTCTCTAAAAAATGGGAAAACTCCCTTTGAGAGTGCGATTTATAATTCAAAAGAAATGGAGTCCATTACAAACGTTTTATGGAGGTTTTAAGGAGCTCTGCGAATGTTGCGAGATAACAAGGCACTATCCACGATAAATAAAACCGAATGGGACGAACCCGAGAGAGAGGAGTTGGTGATCTCGCGTTATAGGAATTGCTTGAGCAAATTGAAAATCTACGATTCACTTTGATAATGAACACTCCCACTGAAATAGTGATTAAGATGTTCGGAAATTTGGCAAATTAGTTCCGAAAACTGAGTCACCCATTGGTTAATTTTCCAATTTTCCAATTTGCAAGATTGAGAGGACAGTTGCATTGGAAATTTCAAGAGATATGGTACTCTCAAAAAAGAAATCGATATGATTGATCTTACCTTGTAGTTTGAGAGGTGCTCCACCACACATTCAAGAACAGCATCTCTTCCCACTGGGGCCGTTACGTTTGCGATGGCTCGAACAAATGTTGGTCCTTCTGAAACAAAATTGCATTTACCTGATAATTTTTTAACTAATACTGTTTGATAAATCTTTAAATATTTTTATTATTATTATTTTTATTGCCAGTGCAATTGATGTTCCTCATAAAATAGGGTGAACATATTAAAATGATATTGAAATATTTGTTTCAAAGAAAAATCCTTCAAACAACAGTCTTATCACCAAAAACCCCGAAAGAAAAACTTTTAAATGTCAAATTAAATGAGTGACTCGGTTAAAAAAAAAATTGTAATCGGAATATTTTTTTCAAATTTTCAAAAAATTTTTCAAAAATTTGAATAGAATTTTTTTTTTTATTTAGATGACGTATTTTTTGAGAATATTGAAAAATAAAAAAAAGTAAGAAAACAACAGTATAATTAAAAAAAAAATTATATTCGCCAAAATTTCTAGAAAATGATAAAAAAAATATTCCGATTACCCTTTTTTTTTTCACCCGGAGAATCACAAGAGTTCTTTGACGCGGTGTAATCATCAACCACCGGATTTGCATAATTTAATTATTTGATCGTTCGGATTAAGCCAAAATGTCTAGAAGTGTACCGTTCACTTGGCAGTGGTGCACGGGTTAGTAATCGAAGTCGGTAATCCACGATCTGCTCGGGAAACTCCTCGACTCACTCAACATGTAATTGGGATCAGTGCTTATCTGTGGTGCACACCCTCCAGAGACATACTCTTTCATCCCCCCTGAATCCTCACTCCAGTAACAATGTCCTCCTCAACACCATGTGCACACCATTACGATTGAAGTCTTCCAGAGAAGATCCGCTTGTTCAATTCTTCATCAGCCTCTCTATTCCGATTTGAGAATCCCTCCGAGACTTATCGAGCCGACGGGCATTTTGTTTTGGTCTCGTTTCTGAAACTCCTGCCTTCATCAAACATTTATAAATAAGGCAGTAAGCTCCTTATCGGAAAGCTACATCTATTTACGAGGTATACTGCTAGGATTTGGAGTGAGAGATTCAGGCGGTCGTTTGAGCCTTTCAAGAGATTGCAGATTGGCCCAGAATTTCAAAAGATAATTCAAAGAATTTCCTGCACTAGGAGTCAGAAATTTATCCATGGCAACGGAAGTGGAAGAGTTGGGTGGAGGGTCGTATTTGTCTCGACGCTTGTCTGTCAACGCATTACGTCAGGAGTTAGGAACCCCTGGAGACGACGTGTCAACGATCTCCCCACGGGAATTTCCTCCGAATTCAGCAGAGAATTAGTGTTGAAATTTATCAGGGGTGATCGTCCCACCATGATAATCATCGGAAAGCCTTGTTGGGCATCAGCCATAAGCGATGAACCTCGGCGATTGGTCTTGCTTGTCCTATCATCGATCCCGGCTGGTATTTGCACTAGAGTAACGTCACGGTGAATTATCGAGTCGTCCAGGCCAAGTGTATATCTACACGAGTGCTTGCTTGGATTCCATAGAATATCCGATATCACTGTTGGCATCAAATTACGGTCAACCGCCACTGCCCTCCAAAATCCCCGACTTGCAATATCCTAATTAATAATACAAGCTAAAGTTCACATCATCATCGAATCTCTAATTGTTTGAGTAGAAATGAGTGATGTTGACCGACTGATCGATTCATTGCTAGCCCTCACTGCCTACATCACATTGAAAATAAATCCGATTACTTCCAAAAAGTCGTTCGACTTCTCAAACTTGCCGGAACCATCGACTCGGTTAAAGTCACTGATCTACAACCTCTACCATCTGGATCGGCAATTATTAACGATTTAACTCTCACTCAACTCCCAATTCATCCTATCGCGTCACTCCATCATCCCCAACTAATTTCACCGGCATTCGGGTCACGTTGATATTAACGAAAGAATAAAACTTCAATCTCTAGTTGCCGACTTACGGTTCCCAAAACTTTTTCAATTATCGGAATTTTGGAAAATGGCTTCAAAGTTGAATATGATAAATATTGAAATTGGTGAGCTGTGTTTATTCAGAAAATTGAGAAAGAGAAATCATTTTCTATGCCGAAAATTTCAAAGGTTAAATTCATTGAATGTAATTTAAATTTCCGGGTTTGAATCGAGTAATTACCTTCAATGACATTTCAAAATAAATCAGAAAATTTAAATAGAAATTATTATTAACTGAATTAAAGGGGGAAATTAATTCACTATTATAATAATTGCCCTTCGAATAACTAGATATTCCACACTGATTAAATTTGCATTTGACGTGGACGCGAATCGGTTCGGAGCAATTATTTTATGAAATTTCAAATTTATGGGGTTTGTGATGGATTATGGAATAATAATACTCAATGAATGAATTACGGTAGTAGAAGATTATAATTACGGCTCGTTTGGAATTTCCGGTAATTTCGATTTGAGTCGATAGGACGAGTGCAGATGGAGTGCAATAAATTTCAAACTGTCGAAGCCCTCTGTGTGCTCAAAGGCTCGGCCGATTTTACCGTTAATCGATTGTCGTATTACTTGCAGTCGGCTTTCATTTCAATTCAGGAAAACAGAGGGGTGGATTGTTTATGAGATAAATCCTGTGGCTGATATTGTAATCAAAATGTTGATACTGGTGAGTTATGCTGAGTGGCAGATTTCTGGATTATCCGTCAATTGCACGTGTACATTTTACTCTGCACCCGCAGATTAAAATCCATCAGATTAAATATATTGTTTTGAAAATATCGCATTATATTGTTCAGATATTTTATCCGCGTGCTGTCGTTACTTGACGAGTTATGAAATATTTTGAGAATAATTTCGGCAGAAATTTATTAATGTCGTTATTGGATTTTTTCTTCAGTTCACTTTTTATTTATTTGCGGGGTGTTATTTTTTAATAGCTGTCAAATTCAGGAGCAATGCAATTTCGTGGCTCAGTAATACCTCCGGGCAAGCACTTTGAAACTCCATTGTCACGGAGAAGTCAATATGCATAAGCCCGTCATTGGCCTTTGATCACTTTCGAGGTGTCGCTCACACAATTAGTTGCCACTGAAAATATCACATACCGATCCCAACGGGTGATCGATATTCGATTACAAAAATATACCCTTCAAGTATCCGATCCCAGCTACAGAAAATTCACGGTTAATAAACTCTTTAATTCTAATTGACAACAGCACGAAAAATAAAATGCGGTGTAATGGTAAGATTTCAATTTTTTTGAATGGAAAAAAATTGAATGAAAGTGCAGAAAAACCGCTAACTTTATGAATCTTTTGAAATCCTTTATCGTGATATTGAAGGATGAGGGATGAAGATTCTATTCACTCGTGAAAGCCTTTGGATAACAATGTTTTCATAGCCTGTGACAGTGTACCGAGGCGGTACGCATTGGATCATAACCCCATAGTTTACCAATTTCAATTACCTCTGACGACCGCTTGCCTTAGGTTCTGTTAGCCAAACCCTTCACGATATTGGCATACACCAACTCAACTCGCAATTTGCTCGTAACGACCGCAATGCACGATATCAGCTGCACTATTAGCTGGATAAGATATCCCTGTAGTTCATTGTCTTACTACCAGGAGAAGAAAAAAAAAGTGCCCAAAAATTACGTGACAACTCACTCAAGGATAACGTAAAAATTCAATTTCACCCTATTTTCCGCACAGAATCATTTTTTTCGGGGATTTTTCTGGAATTTTCCAAGTATCCAAACTGTCAAAACGTTGACAAATATTTTTCAATTTCCATTTTTCCTTTCTCCCGGGAGAAGTTGAAAATGGAAATTTCGAATTTCGGTACTCCTGATTAATGATGCATACATGAAGACATGTACACTCGAGAAAAATGCAGTGTCCTGGGAGATTGGGCGAATGGAATATTGCATATGACAGTGAATCGTTATTTTTCCCCAACTGGTACTTGTCTGCTCAATCATTCAGTTTTTCACGTGAAAAAGTCTGTGTCGAGAGGACTTTCCCCCCGTTTTCCCTCCCCAGGGTAGTGTATTTCCTTCTCGAATGGGTTATGTATGCCCTCTGGGTTACATAATTTTCCGGGTCAACGATCTTGGACATCCAAGTACCGACACACCGGCAACAAAAATTACAAGGAGTGAAAATTGAAACAAAAAAATTCAACAGAAAAGACACGCTCAATTTTTTCTTGTATTCAGATAAAAATTTCCCATAAATCCCCAGAAATTTCACTTGAATAGCACTAGAATTTTTCTAAAGAATTTCATCCCTTGAAAATCATTAATGCATCGAGAAATGGAGTAAAATATTCGCATTGTCCAGAGCGCCGAGGAAAAAACTGACAAAGGGAAATGAATAAAAACGGATGAAAAGAAGAAGAGAGTTACTGTCGCTTTTTTAACGATCGTCGGTTTAATTAAAACGTCTACGGTGTATTTCGGCTCGGTACTCATATAATGAAACAATAAGACACAATAAGAGGAGGGAAAAAGGACACGCAGTGAATCAAGCGATTTCACTCGAGGGAATCAACACAGAGTTGAGGTGAAATACCTCAGTATGGAGTGGCTTATTGCCACCTTTTCATCCTATTCAGTGGATGTTTCGAGAGGATCGTATCTCCATGGAATTGTCTGAGTTTCAGATGTATCTAACCCCTCGAAAAAATAGAAGAATTGCACGCGAAAATTTTTAAATAAAATTCCGACCCGCGTACCGCCTCTAAAGGAATTGGGGATGAATGTCAGTTTTGGAAATTCCCGAGAAATGGAAAAAATTACTAATTTCAATGAATTTCTGAATCATGGGAATTATTATCGCTTTCAACGTCCACTAAAATATTTTTCAGAAAATCTATAATTCACTGAAAAAATTAAATATTTCATTGTAACGGAAATTCCAAGAAATTTCTACCCGTGTGATAATGTAATCCCGAAGTCGGATGAAAATATCCAACATCAGTGTAAAAATATAACGAAAGAAGAAGCGAAGAGTTTAATTACAAACATTCTCCAGTGACAGTAATTTCACGTTACTCTGGGGTAATGGGATCTCCAA